TTTTCTCTCTTTCACTCTCTCTCTCTCTCTCTCTCTCTCAGTCAAAATTCAAAGCTTCAAGGATCAACGATGCGATAAAATACATGAATTTGTTACAGCAGTCGAACTCAGTTAATACTGTACGAAGTCAGTTTTCTAACAATCGATTCTTTCCACGAAGAATACATATAGTACAATAATATATGTATATATATATAATGCCTTGTAGATCTCGGGACGTTCGTAATTATGTCAACATATAACGCTCTTTCACTTTCTGTGTCGTTTCTTGCTTTTCGATTCCCAAGATACATAGAGAATCACCGTAGACTTGTTTACTACTCCGGTATTTGTTCTTTTTAAATTTACAGCCAGTCACGAGAGTCCACGTAAACCTGCGTTATTTGAAAAGTTTGAAACGAGAGGAACGAAAGGACGTTTCACGAACGTTTGTTCGTTCGTCAGTTAAAACTAGACTGGCATTGAAAAGTTTTCAATGGATTTTACGTTTGTTTACAAGAACGTATATGTATGGAAGTTCGAAACATGATCTTATGAAAATCTACGATCAGTTGGTATATATGTAGGATAAGTCTAAATTAGATGTCACGACTACCAGGTTAATTCTACATTTTTGACTCGATGGACATGGATGTAAGTAAGGTTCACAAAATTCATTTCGTCTTTAAACAAAAGGATCAACATTTTGTACTACTCCATCCTATCATACTCGTGACAGAGGTAAATAGTTTGGAAGCAATCATGGTTAAAAAATGATTCGTTTGCTTGCAAATTATTATTGAAGTTCGTATGGGAGAGTAAAGGAGTGCAATATTCAATGTTGTTTTTAGTTACATATTTGTCATCAAGTCTTCTTTCTTCACACTAGAACTACGGAGCGTTTAATTTAATTAACGTGTGATCCTTATGAAAATTGTAACAATAAATTTTCTTTTGATTTCTTCGCATATTCATTAGAGTATTCAGGTGAAACTATTAATTTTTCGAATCATTTCGATTACTAAACACTTTTAAGACACCAATAGTTGTGAAATAAGAAAACTGACATTGCACTTGCCATCCTAAAACACACCGGCTAATCAATACTTGTGTAACAGAGAAGCACAGTGAATATCGTTAACCTGTAATCTTTCATACTAACTTTAACACAGCAATTTGCAATCAAAGGAATCATTTTCAATTCATGGTTCTTTACAGACTATTTACTAACGCGTTAAGTGAAATACGATGAAGTAATAAAGAATGTTGACCTTTTTGTCAAAGTCTGGATACATTTTGTGAGAACATTCTTACATTCTTTTCTTCACCCTGGTGGTCGTGGCGCATAATTTCGGCGGACCTTGTAGATATCAAAGTAAACAAAATTCGTTGATACAATACTCGCAATAATCATAACAACAAGTTCTATGTACTTCAATATATTTCCGTTGACCGCTAAGTAGACTTCATAATTCCGCGTTTTCCAGTAAATAAACGTAAAAACATCGTCGTTGTTCGAAGCTCATACAATTTCAAGTTACAAACGAGTTGTGCCCGTAAAACACTCGAAACCTCTGTTTACTTTTCAAATATTTAAAATCGAACAGACGTACGCAGACTGTTGCGATCGACTGTGCATCCGTTGTTCAGGGAACAGATCAACGAAACAATAATGTAAGTTATTCAATCGGTAGGCCCGTTACATTCGGAAAACAATAACAGTATCTGCATATATAACACGTGGTAAATATTTATATATATATATAATACATATATGTATATATACGAATATGTTTACAGTTGCACGTAATGTATAATTCAAACGGGGGCGCGGGAAATTCGAATTGGGACGTTCGATTTCTCGTGATAGATTCCGCGCCGACATTCTCAAGAACTCGCCGGTCGAAACGATGTACAGAGAATTTTCGCGTCGCGTGTTAAATCGTCCATTCACACACAAACCGCCGCATGTGCATCCATCAATTATAACGGTTCCATCGGAGGGGGGACATGTAAACTATGAAATAATGCGCGTAAAATCGTTATAATCGAAAGATGCAGTTATAACAAAAACTTGTGCGGTGTCTGTCCACGAGTAGAAGCGCGCACACCCAGAGATTTTTGCACATTTGCTCGGAAAACATTGAAATTTCCCAGTAACATATTGTTCGTTTCGATCGGCCGAGCTTCCTGTACAGGTAGCGCATAGACTAAGGTCGTTTCCGTTTACGAAGATATCACGATTTAAAGCATTGTCCTTTTGCATGGGAATCAAATCGATCGTGATCGGTCGCATCGCAATCTGAATCGATGTCAAACGAAATTTTGTTTAATTCAATCGAACACCAAGATTAAATGAAACCCGACAGCTTCTCGATAATAATAAAAACCGCAGAGCAGTTCGACTCGTTTGTGAGGATGAAATGCGTTCATTTGATCACCGTACATGCACTGTTGTTGTTTCTTTGTTTTATTCTTTCTTTAAATATAATCGTCTATTAATTAATCATACTCTGCACGAACACGACTATCGGCCTGTACAAATGTCGCTAACAACTCTCGAACAAAATTACACGGCTACTCACGCAGTTCGAGACACAATCTACATCGAATACATTATATATCTATATATGTTTGATATACTATATACATGAAATATATATATATAGTATACGCATACGTATAAATATATAATTCACTATGAACTATAATAGCGTTTATAGTTATTATTATAAACACCTTATCAAACGTGTTTCCGGTTAAACGACGAAAGGAAACGCACTACTTTGGAGAGGCGTACCGAGAAATCTTATTTGGAAGTCAAAAACACGGTGGTTTTGCAAATATTCAATGCTTCATTCGAGATACCTCGAAGAGGACGCGTTTTTCTTTTTTTCTTTTTGTTCTTTGAATTCATTCAATATTACATCTACAGAGAAGTATAGTAGATATACATACGTATATACAAGACGCTACATTTCATGAGAACATATTATTAATACTAAAATCTTCTTGGTGGTATTTATTGTTATTTAGTTAGTAATAGATTATTAATATCTACTAAGTATTTATTTTCTCCTTTCTGTTCTCGTGTTTACTCGCTCTTTCTCTCTCGTTCTCTCTCACTTTCAACCGCGTTCTCTCCCTCTCTCTCATTCATCTTTCTCACCCTTAGCATTCCATCCTT